GAGTTGCCTTACTGACATAAATGAACATTTGCACGATATTCTAATTTTTCGAGTTTCACCTGTATATCCTTGCTGTTTATTATTACCCATAGGGTAATGGTTTTCCATTACCATCTTCCTCATCTAGTTTGCAGCCCTGAGAATTCCTGGTGGTCTCTCATCCAGGTTGAAGTCCACCCTCAACCACAGCAGTTCACTGGATGACTTAGGGGCTGTCATTCTCTCAGCTCTACCTACTTCACTGGGATGTTGTTGTGGAGAACAACGAGAGGAAGGAGTGCTGTGTATGTTGCCTTGAGCATCTCAGCAAAAGGGAAATTCGTCTGGGGCGATGACACCACTAAACAGTGGACACTTTTGCACTTTTCATGCTATTGCAGCTTACATTTGTCTTCTCAAATAGGCAGCGACACTTACTCTTTCTATGTGATCTTGAACCTTTCAGTAGTGAAATACGGTCATACAAAGGAGAAATACAATTTTATCCTTGATATGTTGGAACTGTATTCTTTAGGTATGTGCCAGTGTTTCTTAAAGTGTGGTCTGGAGACCCCTGGGATTCCCCAAGACCCTTCTCAGGGGTTTATGAAATCAAAACTATTTGCCAGATATTCAAGATATTTGCAAAAATTCATAGCGTCACTCTTCTCATTATTATTATTTCTTTGTGAAAAAATACAGGATTTTTTTTTAATGAAAAAATATTTATGTTAATATCTAATGAGTTTAAGGTTATTTTTACATGATTCAATAAGTAAATATTCTACGAATGCATCAATTTTAGTTTTTAATAACTAAATAACAAAGAATTCATACAAACAAAAGCTCTTTTGGGGTCCTCCATAATTTTTAAAAGTGGGAAGGGGTCCTGAGAGCAAAAGTTTAAGAAGCACTGGTATACACCATCTAACTTTCACTCTGATTAGGCTTCTGTGGACTACATATAATATAAGGGCAAGCAGCATTTCTGTAATTGCAAATCCTGAGAAATGGCCTTAATATGGGCATTCTTTGGTACCAAAAAATTACACAGACAGTAATGCACACACAATATGCTGTGTATTGGATGCCTTCCATCAAATGTTAGCTATGGTGGGCAGAGCAAGAATTATGAGATTTCTTCTATGTCAGACTGAGATGAATTGGAAAAAACCAAAAGGAAAAAGGAGTTTCTCTTCTTAAGCTAGCACATGCACACAAACAAATATGGTAGCAAATATAAACAAAATATTCTATAAAATAGAATGAATAAAAGTGATTAGAGAGCCAGTTTGGTGTAGTGGTTAGGGCATCAGGCTAGAAACTGGGAGACCGTTAGTTCCAGTCCCACCTTTGGCATGAAGCGAGCTGGGTGATCTTGGGCCAGTCACTCTCTCTCAGCCCTAGGAAGCAGGCATTGGCAAACCACTTCCGAAATCTTGCCAAGGAAACTACAGGGAAATGTCCAGGCAGTTGCCAGGAGTCAAAATTGACTCAAAGGCACCAATAAAACAAAAGTGATTAAACTGTGTCATGAGCAGGGAGCGTAAACTTTAATATGCAACCTTATCTTGATCAGTTTCTGAAGCCATGACAGTCACTTACTAGATGGCTTTAAAAAGGGACATGATATATTCCTAGAGGATGAGGTTATCAGTGCCTACTACTACAAAAGCAATATTCTACCTTCTGATAGAATACTCCTGAAAACCAAACAATTTCCTGCTTATAGGCTTCGCACAGATATTTCTTTGGTCATTATTGTAAACGTGACTGGTCAAGGTGAGCCTTTGGTCTGACTCAGCAGGGCTATTATGAGATTATCTTTGCCTAAATTTGTTCTATTCCAGAGCAGCAGCAAATAAATATTACAGATATGTCTGTTGAGCACATAACTTAAAAAGGCCAAACCCACATAAAAACTTGGCATTTAAATAATAATTAGGATTTTTTTTACTGATAATTTACCTCCAGTAAATTGCTAATTTACCTCCAAACAAAATCAAAATCTGAAATGTTTTCAGGCCTACTACTGACCAGATCACGATCTTCAGATCATTGTTTATTTCATGACTAAGAAATATTCTTAGATAATTCTATGTTTAAAATGGGGTTACTCGAGAAATGCAATTAGATTTCAGTCTAATTAATTCAGTCTAAACAGCCTCCCTCGAGAACTTAGACTGGCCGCCTTGGTGACATCATTCAAAAAGTTACCAAAGACCTAACTTTTCCAGAGGACCTTAGGGGTATAATTGCACACTATTGATATTTTATATCTTTTTATCTTGAATTATAATTGCTATTTCTGGTTCTAATTTATTATAAGTTTATATTGTGTA